AGCAACCTTTTCCATTAAATTAATAAATTTTACAAAATTAAGAAATCACAGGTTAAAAAATTTAACTGCAATTTCATATAACTGATTTTTAAAACAGCTTTTCAACTGAAAAGTAGATTGACGTCGGAATAGTGTAATTTTGACGTTATGATAAAATGCAGCCCTTGAAGAAGGGGTAACAAATATGTCATGAAAGAATAAAAATATCAAATATATACTCTTGAAATTTTAAACATACAAATTTGATAAACTCTCGATCATTTTCATTATTTTTCATATAAATCCTCTGCATTTGTCATATTTTGTAGTGCTCCATAATAACAATATACGTCATGTAATTCGTCAATTTTTGGCATTAAAAGATGACCGCTCTAGAAACAACGGTAGAATTTTTTGTTTCTTACAAATAATGTACAATATAGTATTACTCATCATATATTATAATTTGAGCAAAAAGTCTATTGTCAGTGGTATTTGTATAATTATAATTCGCTTTAAAAAGCGAAAAATTGGCACTTTCCTATATAATCCAATAATAAATGTTCCTGTATTTTGAGACGGTCCCTTAAACTTGGCATGTACAATGAAGTTAATGTAAGGCACATTATTAAAATTAAATAGTTTCTCTATTTTAGTTTTTCACACAATAAATCCCCAGTCGGCTCTCTTTAACGATATATCTTTTGCGTCTCCAATAATTACCAACGCATATAATTATTCGATATAGGTTATTGGTATTAAAACTCGTGAAAGCTGACCAAATTCGTGTATTACTGTATTAACAATAGCGAAAAGGGGAAATGTATTCATTTAAAATTGGTCGATTTACAACTGTAGTTAATTAAATACTATAGTTATTTGTTTTCACTTATAAAACTTTTATCATCCATCAGTTTGTATCAAACAAAGAAAATTCAATAAATGTTTTGACAAAGATGGATAGCTAGGGATGAAGTTGAGGTTCTACAAACAGCGCTGGATCTACAAACGGCATCCATTACAAGTGGATTCTTTTGATGAAAGCAACCAAAATATCTTATTAACCGTGGTCTTATCTGTACATGTATATGTCACCTACAAGCTATAAAATGTTCCATTACTTATATCATTCCATCAAATGTGTTACATGTATCTTTAATATTGTTCTTTAAGGCGAGGATATTATTTGAATACTAGAAATTTTTACAAAATCAATTAAAGTTGGCAAAAGAGTCTTTCTGTTTTAATATTTAGAATTTTTCCTTAATTGATTACCATTATGACATAATATTCATCGATCACGAACCTTTCTGCTTGTTGACGATCGTCATATTACATCGGACAAGAGCTGTATTAAGCAAAACCAGTTGTTCTTGCAACTCATCACCCATCGCCATGACACTTCGAATGGACTTCTGAGTAGCCGAAACTAATGACGTCATTGACTTAACAAGTTGTTTCATTTCGTTGTTTTGGGTAAGCATGGCCATTTGGAGATACTTATACTGATTTTTAATTGCTGCAACAATGGATTGGTGTGCAAATATCGAGCCTGGTGGATATCTTTGTAAAATCTCAACATCGTTTTTAAGTTTGATGTCCCCGTCTTCTAAATCACCTGATGTAACATTGAGGGCAACCAATCGTTTTCCAAGAATCTTTTTTGATTTCCGTAAAATCCTATTGGCACTTTTTAATTTGTGCATGGCTTTAGTATTAAAATCCCCAGAACGAGTTGTCTTATTGTTATGAGCGTTTAGGTTGGCTTCAAACCAATATTTCATGGCTTCATCATTTCCGGTCAGTAATTTTGTATTTCCCTTCCCTCGAATGGTCACAGTCACATTTTTAGAACACGTTACTTTGATAGAGTTTCTTTCCATGTCAAATAGATACGTACAATTATCGTTCGTTACGGGTACAGCACAAAATACACAAGGCACAAAAACAACCACCACAAAAATAAACCAATCCATCGTTCTGCTGCACTTGTACAACCCAAATGATGAAAGGATATTTTTCTGACCGTTTAATAAATAGCATCAATCGAAAACGCAAAAAAAGCTTAGAGATTCTAGAGTAGTTATTTCCTTTCAGTCGAGTAAATATTCAGTTATAACCCTCATTTGCCGAACACATTCAATTCAATTTGAAATCCATGTCTTAATTTCATTGTCTAATTTTGTGGAGCGAGAAAATGCGGGTCCATGGGGAATTCAGTTGTCACCATCTGCATGCAAGCAATGGTCAATACACAGAGCACAAGTCGGATTCTCCAAGGAAAACACTTTCTCCAAAGAAAATTTCCGGAATTATTCAAGAGAACATTTCCTGGCAAAAATAATTGCTTGTAATGAATTAAGATAGAATTAACACTCGCAACTCTCAAGTGGAAACTAACCAATGGTGTCTGTTTTCAGGTCAATACGATGACTGAAAATCACATCACGCAAAGTGCTTATTTTCCATTTGATCTGAAGTGTATGTATGATATCAATAATTCATTACGTCTGCAATCATTGGTGATGAGACCATTTTTAGCTACCTAGCGAGGGGTGCTTCTAAAATGTAATTTGTATACAAAATATTGCATTCTAAAAGACCTTTACCGAAATCGAATACAGAAACTAAGCTCAAAGATTCACAAAGAAATTTTCACAGGTGTTTGATAAAAAATTAAATCTTTGCAACACAATGGTTTAGAATCATCTTTTATCAATAAAACGCATTCGGAAGGTAAATGTAAACACGATATAGGATAAAATCAAACGTTCAAAATGGATTTTAAATGGGTTTACAAACACACGATAAAAGATTTCAATATTTCGTTTGAAATATACATGATTTAGAAAAAAAAATTAAATGAAAGACGTACCTTCCAAAATAAAACAGTTGTATGTCTTTGATGTACATTAAATCCTGAAGAATTGCATGTTTACAAGATTAAAATTTGCATGATAATGATAAAACTCTTTTCAAAATAATGTTGGAGATCTTCTCAAGACTCTTTAAGATAAAAACATTGAATTTTAAAATACAAGTTGGGCATTAAAGTGCACGATAGAACCCATCTTTAAAAGTGTAGAAAGTAAATGAGTATAAGAATTTTTTCATGAATTTCAGATAGAGCATTATATTTCTTAAATCTTACTAAGCGATAAAATAAATATATATGAATTTTATACTATTTTTTTTATCTACGAATATCATTACAGTTAGAAATTAATATCAATATTTACAATACTCTGGCAACAGAGACAACATGCTCCACGCGATGCCTTCGTTAAACTTAAAAAAAAAAATCTGAGGATGATTGACCAGTTGAACTGCTCTTGACCAACATATAATTATTAATAAGACAAATACTAGTAATACTTAAAGTAATTCTACAGGGCCAATAATAAAATTGGCATTTGGAAACAAAAAGCATGAATTGGTACAAATATAATGCAATTTCTTATGTAGACAGCAAGCACATAAATCTTGAGGAGTACACAAGTGTGTAAAGTATGGTAACCATTCATGCTTACAGAGCAACCTCGTAATTAGAGGCTTGAGAAATTAGGTAAAGACAATCATGTCTACTCCATTTTCTCTGTCTATATCCTCTGTTTCTAGCCACAGTTTGTTCTTTATTACTTTTCGATCCATTATATCAGATCTACTTTAGGAGGCAAATTTTCCAATCATATAAGAAAAGTCAATCTTTGGTCCATGCTCCTTATTTATTAGAAGAAGGGTAATTTTCTTCTCCGGGAATTACAAGACACAAACACTGGTCGATCGTAAATAGATGATTTATTGTTTTATGGAGGTCAGTTTTGATCGATTATTTTCCATTTTCAATAAACAGAAGTTATTCTTTAATATACAATTAGTGTTACTGAGTATACGAGGAATTTCCCTACCAACTTCTAACCTCTCCGAATCGGTAGATTTTTTTCGATTATAAGTTTTGGACATGAAAGGACACAATTAGATGTTTGTATTTAGTCTTCTGAACTAATCCTTTCCGGATTCTTTCCGTGTTGGAGACGAAAAACTGCTGATTCATCACAAATGGACTCCTGTGTTTTCTTAGGGATGATTAATTCATGATATCATTATGGTTGGTGAAGAGCATATTCTCATGACAGCACAAGAAGCAAAGCATATCGACTTCAAACCAAACATGTTTTTTTACGTTACTTTAAGTAAGAACGAGATCGTGTTTGGTCCTTCAGACCGGGCATGTTATGAGAAGAGAGGCGCCTATATTGCAGATAAGATCTTAATTTACTTAAGTATAAATTTATAGAGAACAATATTATTTTTACAAAAATTTGCTTAAGTTGTTTTGTTTTAAGTTAAATGTAAGTTGTTTTTTGCCTTCTTGTAAACATGTCTAAATTTGTATATAGTGCAACTCTCAGTTAACCTTGGACTTTCAGTAAGGTGTGGCATTCTCGGCGCCGGAATTTCTATCCCATGTATATTTCAACAGTCTTTGAAAGCTGTGTAAATTTCAGAAGCTAATTATGTAACGTCGAAAATGCCACTCCTTGCTGAAAGTCCAAGGTTAACTGAGAATTGTACTAAAGCGAACCAAAAATCATCGTCGGCAACAGGTACATGTAATGAATCATTTTTTTTTTCAAAAGTTATACTGATATGAAATTTTCACTTAAGGTAGGATTCTTCTCACATTTCTTGTATTTAAAAATTAATGAAATTTTCACAGAATCAAGAGGATAATATCACTTAGTGATGGTATCACTGACAGAGATTAAATTTGATCATTTAATATTAGAGGCAAGGTCAGGTCAAGGTCATTACCTTTTTCCTGGACATTAAGAATAAAAAATTACTGTTACCAATCATGCGATCCCTACCTGTAATTTAAAGGATTGAAAGTTTTTCTTTTTGCATAAAAAGATACTACCATATAGGGCCTATAAGATGATATTACCAATTTGACATGGATAATTTAAATAAAATGGGTATTTGCTAATCCGAATTTTCTCTACTTTTCTTACATTTTTGGCTTTATTAGTAATTTTTATATGCTTCCTATATTTAACTTTATTTTTTATTTTAACATATAGTAAAGTTGTCACATAAAGGCACATAAAGGTACAAAATGATACAAAAACTAAAAGTTTTGATCGTTTACTAAGAGAGAAATAACACTTTTTACGGATTTTTGGCTCAAATAGTTCTAGTATGTATGAAAAATCTTATGTATTTGATATATTTTGAAACTTTAGTCCCTTATTATTAATTTAACTTACATTTGAAAATTTCTTCTAGTCTTTGATTGCGTAAAAATATAACTATCAATGTTCTATGATAATTTTGAGAGGCAGATAAGAAAATATTTTCATGCGCCACCATTCCGCCAAAAATATAGTCCCTGCTAGATTTCAAACGCAGTTTACTATTTCTATTTAAAGTTGTATAATTGTGATGAGGAAAGAAAAATATGGTCTATTAAATCTTTTACATCTATATATATTAGACAAATCAACAAATATACTTTGAATGTTCCATCTAGTCAAAAACCAGAGAAGAATTCTACCTTAAGTCTATTCTCAGTTTATGGTCATTGGGCCAGGTTTCATCCGATGGACCGGTCTCTAGGTCCAACATTTTGACTTGAACCCGAGACGTAAGGATCAACTCCTTACTTTCAAATCTATAAGGAGAAGCATTGTGCCTCTCGGGCGACATGAAAAAAATACCCATATCATCCATCAATGCAATTCACTTTTGATACTCTCTAGGTTACCCGCCATTTTCTACATCACTGATGGTGGCTTCAATGAAGTATGCGATGATTGTTCTTAAGTTTCTAAAAGCAGAAACTTGGTGCGTTTCAGTGTAATACACTAGCCAGCAGATACAAGTATGTATAATTAATGTGTTTAATTAACTTTTATGTGCATGGTCATACGAATTGTTATCATTATTTGAATCAAGACGGAGATGGAGAATTACGTAACTATGCTTTTTCTATTGATGCACTGTGTTAGATTTGAAACTTGGTTTGTTTCAATGCCCCGTCAATCGAAGTGTCGGAGGTATATAGGTATTGCTCTGTCCTTCCTTTCATTATCTTTCCCCATAATTTTTGATTGGTTGGAGTTTGGGTTTTCCTATTTCATATGTGTCTTTCTTGTGAAAGGCTTTGGGTTTGAATATATTTGCTCTATTAATATTGAACTTAAAGTTTTACCCACTTGTACAAAATTTTAACAAACTTTAACCCTGGCCTTAATTTATGAACGTTTGGTGCTAGGGCTTACTGTATACTGTATTACACATACATTGCTTGAAGAAGACCTTTCTTTTGGTACCTAAAATTTTGATTACATTATATTGATTACATTTTTTTTTTTTTTTACAAAAAACATAACTTTGGAGAACCAGTGTAAATTACTCTTGTATGCCAGATGCTTCTATGCATACGTATTTACACAGTTTACATACGTTCTATTTAAATACTTACGATGACTGTTCAATAAATAATGTCCTGAACTCTTTGACGTACGAGGCTGTTCGGAAATTATTGAGACAATTACATTTACTCCATAAAGGACGGAGATAATTTCCGGAAAATTCATCAACATTTTACAAAGAACGAAAAGAACACTTATGCAAAATTTCTTATTTCTATGACAATAAGAAAAGTTTCGGTGAAATAATAAACATGCATATGTCTATCGACCCGGAGCAGCATCACTACGTAATTTTAAGGTCACGTCAGCCATGCAGGGATGGTTTCGCATGTAAAACGATCGGGAAGCGTTTAATCTTTTCTTCTTTGTTATTACATATAACATATTACAAAAATCAAACAGTCTCTTTTCTTAAACTCTTCCTTAAGAATGCATGCTGTTGCTACCCGAGTGTAATATTTTCATTTGTGGGAAAAGATGACTTAAAATCATGCAGTGCCGATTTATGCAGCGCGGGTCAACGATAATTAATTCCGTAACGATATTAATACCGTACGTAATAACTGATGGTCGTCCGGAGCTTTTGATTTTACTCTGGTTGACTTAATTGTAAAAAAAAAATGTATACCAATGAAA